GGCTTCCCACGTGTCTGTCTGTGCAACGAGGACTATTCAGTCCTCAAAATTGTGAAGAGGGACGATGTTTAGTCCCATTTCACAGGTGGCAGCAAGGAGGTTAGATGGTTCCCGCAGGACCCATCATTGTAAGGGGCAGAGCTGGGACTAGAGCTCAGGCAGTCTCACAACAGGGCCTTGCCGTGGACCTCACCACCTAGTACAAAGGTCTCCCATCGTGGCCTAAGCACCTCCCCACGTCCTCGGCGCCGGGCTGGCTGATTAGCTGCCTGCGCTGTTTATTTTGCCAGAGAGGGCGTCAACCGCGAATCCTGGCCCCAGCCTCGTCAGTGTTCGTGCAGTAAGTCAAGACCTGTCTATTCCTCATAGAGGAGTTTGGGGGTCTGCGATAAAAAAGAAACGCAAAACTTCATTTCCCTAACCTGCTACGCTGTTCATTTTTTTAAAAAAACCCTCTCTTATCAGCCTCCTGGCAGCGTTTGCGTTTCCTGTGCATGTTAATTACTTTATTAATTACGTCGGTGTCTCTGGCTCTGCCCGGCGCATCCCGGCGCTCTTTGTTCCCAGTGCGCGCGCGTCCTGCCTCGCGCGTCTGCACGTGCACGCCCGGCTTCCATTTCTAAAAGGGATTCTTCGAGCCTCGGTAAACACGTGGCTTTCGATTAGCCATGCAGTCGTCATTCCCGTTTCCGTTGCAGCTGCGCCGCCGGTGGGGTGTTCGCTAACATTCTCCCGAACAGAGGCGCTTCGTGTTAGGTTTCTGACGTTGTTCCTCAGCCCTTGTCTTCTCTCCGGGTCGTAGCGCGGAGAGCCCCACAACCTAGGACTGGGGGGTGAATGAGCAGGAAGGTGTGGGGGGCGGGGTGGGGCCTGGGGATGGGGCTGGGGCTCGGGCTCGGGCTCGGGGTAGAGTAGCTGAACCGCGAGGCCGACGGGGATGGGGCTTCGCCAGACAAGGCTGGAGGGTGACCTGGGACCAAATCCTGGGAGCACTTGAGTGTTAAGCTGAGAATTTGAGACTTCATCCTAAAAACCAACATCCCCCAAAGCACGAAAACATGACGTGCACTATTAATCCCATTCACTGTCCCAAAATAAAAGAGAATGGGGGCATTTCATGGTCTGAAAGTTTTTTTAAATCCCAGAAACTACACATCTGCTTCTTGGGCTTTGGCACGGCAAACGCTCTGGAGAGTTCTGCGATTACTAGTTTAACTAAAATCATTAACTAGCATTTCCAAACCTTCTTTGGCCACAGAACCCTTTCTCTGGGTGCATGTTGACAACATGGGCATATTCTAATGTGGAGTCTAATTTAGGAAGCGCTGCTGGAGGGGTTGAGGGGCCTTGTCGGGTTTTCAGCAGGAAGGACTTGCTTAGACTGTGTTTAGAAAGGTGCTCTGGCAGGCTGTGGGGAGACCAGAGGTGGGGTGGGGGTGTGGCAAGGAGGCAGGCCCCGAATGGTTCAAGCAAAAGGAAACAAGAATCTAAACCAAGGTTTCAAATGTTTCCGTGTTTTCTTTCCATTCTCTTTCAAACTGCATTGTTGTCTTAAAATTGGAAAATCAGTGTTGCTATAATAAATCAGAGCACAAGGATTTTACTCAGGCGTAAAATCTGAATGGGAAAGCAGTCCATGCGTTCTTCCGTCTCCAGAGGAAGTGCTTAGCCCAGCAGGGTGCTGGAACACAACAGCCATCTGTTTCTGCAAGTCACCAGAGTGCATCGAGGCTTTCCAACCAGACAGACCCACAGTCGGGTCCCAGGCCACACCTTAGTGGCTCTGTGACCCTGGGCAAGCGGCTGCATGTCTCTATGTCTGCATTTTCCTGTGCAGTAAAGAGAAAGAATAATCCCTCTCTCACAGCTTCAGGACTGCCTGAGGGGGCATGCGCAAAGTCCTTAGCACAGTGCTCGACATGTAATAACATAAACACAAATGGAATTGCCCTTCTCTATTAGTCAGGATAGGCTGGGCCAAGCTGCAGTAACAAAGAACCCCTAACTCTCAGCAGCAAACTGCATCAAAGATCTATTTCTCTCTCATGCAAAGTCTGCTTGTAAATCCAGGTGGTTTCCAGGGGAACCATCTTCCATGAGGCAGCTCAGTGATCTGGGACTGAACATGAGGCAGCACACAGATCTTGTGACAATTCTTCTAGGCTTTAGCCCACAAAGGTCAGATGTCACTTCCTCCCATAGCCCATTGGCCAGAATGAGTCATGTGGCCCCCCGCCCACTGTAAAGGGGCTGGGGAGCACCAACCTCAGGCAGCTACTCCTTCACTCCCCTTGATGTGTCCACTGAACCTCTCTGAGCCTCAGTCTCCTCATCGCTAAGGCAGGGCTGATACTTCCTGTCCACCTGGCATGAGGTTATTAGGGAGCACGTGTGATCACATATGTGGAAAATGTTAACATTGGAGGTGATTACGTGCTCACTTTCAGCCGGGCCGAAACCACGTCCCATCTTTGGTTCACAGGAAAACATGCAGCTCCAGTTCTCCGTAAATCTCCGTTCCAGTCCTTATTCCCCAGCCCTGTCTTGTCTCTGATTGCCCACACCCCCCGTCTAAGTTGGGCCTTTTATATTTTTTTGGTGAAACCACGAAGGCCACCCAGCAGCAGTCTTTGGTGGCCTGTTTCTGGAACCGCGCACCTGGTGGCACATCCTGCATGGAACAGGAGACCCTGGGGTGCCATGAGGGGTGACAGGGCACTGCCGCCTTTCTCTCAGGGGTCCCGCCTCACAGGGTATGTGGAGTGGGTGTCCCCCAAGCACCAAGATTCCCTTAAATGTGGGCAGCGACCGTGTGCATTGCCAAGCTCCACTATGTGGTTTGGCTGCCAAACAACCAAGGTCAGGGTTAATAACTCAGCTGCATAAGGCTCTAGGCATGGGGAAGGGACACTACTCTTGCCCTCCTCGGATCCTCTTGGAGACTTGTATTTTCATATGGGCCCGGACCCTGTAGAAATAGTGACAAGATGAAGTGTGGCCAGGATGGGGAAAGAATAAGAAGAAACTGTGCCGTGTAGGAAGGATTGATGTGGACCCAGCAAAGAGAAGGCTCAGAGGGGCACGATCACCATCTCTAAGCTTCAGAGGGGCTGTCCTGGGGTCCAGGGACGAGCCGCAGCCTGCAGGGCCCCAGAAGGCACAGCTGAGACCCGCGGGGGAAGTTCTGGTGGGACAGATTTCAGCTTAGGATGAGGAAGAACATTCACATTTTAGTCTGAACCATCCCAAAATGAACTGGGCTTCCTTAGGAGGTAGTGAGTGTCTCATCACCAGAGCTGAGCAAAGGAAGACTGGACAAGCTCTTGGCAGGGGCTGCTCACGGAGGAAGGGAAGTGGAAGAAGATGCCTGAGTGAATCTCTTCAAGCCCAGAAGTTCTCTGACTGCACAAAGTAGAATAGCTGAGTACTGTGGCCTGCAGAGGTATTTTATATGTATTGACATAAATGTTTATGTATTTGTTGTTGACGGGTGTGTGTGAGAGGAGGTAGGAAGAGCTCTGAATGGTGATGGGTTGGAGCATCACACTCACACTGGAAACTCCATCGCTGGTGTGGAGGAGAAGGCCCTGGTGAGGCACAAGGATACTGGCCAGGAACACGGAGAAAGAAGGGGGCACACAGACCGAAGGGGCACGCAGGCTCTCCGGGGCCTGTAGCCTCCCAGGGACTCCCACGCACAGCCAGCGGTGGCAGCAGCACCGATTACAGCATCTTGTTTTGGAACAGGCTTTGCAACACTGCACTTTTGGGGCTCCCAGCCCGCTTGCCTCTCTGAATGACAACAGGCAAATGAAATGGACGCATTGTTCTTACACACATTACTGCGGGTGGGTATGTGTCTGGGCTGTGTTGTCTTTTGTCTTTGGGGTTCTCGCTCAATACTCAGAACAACCCTCAAAGCAGGTAGGTGACTCCAGCGTTTCTCGGAGGAGAACCTGGAGCTCAGAGGGAGCTCGAGGCAGACCTGGGTCAGAGCCCCGGGCCAGAGGCAACGCCAGCGGCTGCCCGTTACACCAGGGTGCTGTGGTGTTGCCCTGCTGCCTTTTCGCCAAGGGCAAACTAAAATCTGAGCTGCAGCAGGGAACTTGAGAGGGAACACTTGAGGCTCGTTCAGGCAGCCAGCTTCCTGTGTCCTTGCTGAGCTGGGACTCCCAGAATTACCCAGAGTTCCAGGGAGGAGTCCCAACAACAGAAAGGGTCCTGGGCTAGGGGTCAGGACAGCAGGCTCAAGTGCCAGGTCCTCAGGTTTCTTGCTGTGTGACCTTGGGTGAATTACAGCCTCTTCCTGGGCCCAGTGTTCTCTGTGCAAAATGGACATGAGGCCGATGGCCGTACTCAACTCCTAGGGCTATTAGGCAGATCTAACAGTGTTGAAAACCGTAAAATTGAGTACACATGCATAACAGTGGTGGACTCTAGTAGCTCTGTCCGGGGTCCCCCATGCTCCTGCTTTCTGACTTAGGGCGTCTTCACACCCTAGTTCTGTCGCCTCCCATTTCACACCAAGCCGGACTTGAGCTTGACAGCAGGAAGTCGCCGTGAGCCACCAGCCAGGCCAGGCACTGAGCTAGCTGCAGCCCCTGTGAGAGGATGGCGAGAGACACGCCACGGGCATAGCCAGCCAGGGCTGGGAAGCACCAGCTCAGCTGCCCTGAGGTCTGGGCTGGGAGGTCCTCAGGCTGGGCCGTTCTAGACTTGTGGTGTGAAGCCAAGGTTCAGGGGTCCTGGGTTCAAGTCCCATGGCTGTATTGGAGCCCACTCCCATGGCGATTGTCTGGATGAAATGGGACAGTGTGTGTGCTTAGCCTGGAATCTGGCATGTAGCATTCTATAAATGGGCGGGGGGGGATCGCGGGGAGGAGAGGGAGGGCAAAAAATTGAACACAGAGATATGCAACAGGAGGGCAGTGGTCCTCCCCAAAAAGAGAGGCAGGAGTCCCTGGGGCCTCAGAGGGGTGGGGCAAGAGGAGCTGGGAAGGTTTCAGAGGTGGAGGAGTGGGTGGGTGTCAGAAAGGGTGTCCCAGGACCAGGGACAGTAAGGGTCCCTGGCCACAGATGGGGTCGGGGGAGGGGAGTCGAGGATGGGAATAGTATGTGGGGTCCCGTTACCGAGGGACCAAGTGACTATTCCCTCGTCCAGCTCTTGTTCTTGTTCATTCTCAAGGCTTCATTAATATCTCAGACTCTCACTGTATTGTATCGGCATCTGAGGGACGCAGGTTCCCCTTCAACCTCTCGTGTCTCTCTCTACTCTCCGTTGGTTGTTCTGTGGATCCCCTGCCCGCCTGGGTCAGGGCCCCCAAGCCTCCTCTGAGGCCCAGCCGTGGGACCCTCCCTCCTCCACCCGCTGGCCAGACACGGAGCTGTGAAGGGTCAGGCGGGTCCGGGGCTGCAGGAAGAAAGCGTTGCTCTGCTCTCAGGGTGGAGGTGGTTTAGCCCCAGGCATTCCCATGTGCACCCTGGGAAACACAGTCCTGCAGGCTTCTGCCCGGCCAGGTCCGGCATGAGGGGTCCAGGCACCCTGTCCTGCGGAGGGTGGGCGAAAACCAGACTTCAGGAGCTGAGCCCGGGAGGCACGGGCTTCTGTCTGCGGTTACCACCGTGGAATCACCGGATATTGGCACTTGAGGGGCCTCCGAGGGGAAAGGTCTTGCCCGAGGTTGGCTACCAAACCATTCCCCTCAATAATGCCGCTTCTATAAAAATCGGGTGACCAAGGGAATAGTGAACCCATATTTCGTCACGTCCCAATGGCATGTGGGGCCTCATGGGTTTTGAGACCCGGGAAGAATTGCCTCAACTCCCCCAGGTGGAGAGACCCCGAATGCCCTGGGCCTGCTAGAGACGTTGGCCCTTTCCCAGCCTCTCCTGCAGGCGTGGCCCAGTTCCTGGCTCACAGGCGCCGTCTCTCTCCTGCCTCACGTCACCCAGGGCGAGTCTGAGGCCCTTTGCCGGGTTCCCAGCATGCCCCTCTCGCTCATCAGGCACTGGCATTTCCTGAGTTTTAGCAGAACTTCCAGAAGGTGCGGAAGCCTGAGGGGAAGGACCACGTGGCCCAACCAGCTTCCTTCCTTCTCCCAGCCTCTCTCCTCTCCTCCTGGTTCTCTCCTCCCTCCTCCCTCTCCTGGCTCCCGCAGTGCTTTGCTCCCCCCTCTGAATACTTGGTGCCTGTGGCAAGTCCCACCAGAGTCTGGCTGTCCCTGAAGTGAATTCTCCCCCAGCTGCATCTTCTCCAGCACTGAAGTGTGTCTGGGTGCCTTTCTCACATCAGCCATTCAAAGTACCCACTTAGTCTTTCCCCAGCCCTTTCACCAACTTCAGAAAAAGAGCTATCACACTTACTTCAAAAAGGTCCTTGAAATTAAAAGCTCTCCCGCAATATCCCGTGACTCCGGCACAAGGACTGGAGACTCGCTGGACAGGCAGCCCCGACGCCGGAGGGAGGCAGACACGCCCAGCTCCTGCGGCAGGCCCCGTGCTCCCCAGTGTCTCGTTGCCTAAAGAAGCCAGCAATCTGGGTGTGCAGATGAAATCACCTGGGTTTGAGGTGCTAAGGTGCCCAGGAAGTGGTGGGTCCGTTGCCCCATTCACAATGCACCCTGGGAAAGCGCCTCCCCTGCCACGTCACCCCCCCTCCCCATGACCTAGCACCTCCTGGCTTTGCATTTATCCACAGTCCCTACAAATTCCTGAGCTCCTGAACTCCTCCTGCTCCTGGCTTGCCCCCCATCCTCCCCCTCCCCTCCCCCAACCCCTGACACAGGCCCAAGAAGAATAGGAGTGCCCCTGAAGGCCCACCTCCACAGGGCGGGGACAGAGCCCGGCCACAGGAAAGGGAATGACAAAAGAAGTTGAGACGCAAACCCCACCCGCTTTGCAGGAAAGAGGTCTGTCTGGTGTGACTTTGCCTCTGATTCACTGTGTCACCTTAAGCCAGTCCCTTGTCCTCTCTGAGCCTGTTTCCTCACCTGTAATGTGGGTGCAACATTCCTGGCTCCTTCATCAGTCTGCCCTGAGGTCAAAATCCAAGAGAAATCCCAGTGTGTAGACTTGTGAGCTGCAAAGAGCTACGGATGTTTGGGCCCACTGCTGCACTGGTCAGCCCTGAACTTCCCTGAGAGGATCTCCACCCCAGCTCTGACCCTTATACAACCACAGAAGTTCCAAGGTCAAATTCAGGATGCCTCTCTGAACAGGACCAGGCAGGGGTCTGCTGGCCCACTGGCACCCTAATGTGGAGCACGGTTTCCTTGCCCTTCTCAACCAGGGCCTGGCCACCTCTCCCGCCTCATCTCCCCTCCTTAAAACATCAGGCGAGCAGCTTTGGACCCCACACCTGCTGCTCTGGAAGCCGCCCCCCCATGCACCTGGGCAGGGTGCACAGCACGGCAGACTGGATAGGTCCAAGAGCCAGAGGGCGGCCCCAGCCAGCTCTGGAGAGCTGATGCAGCGGTACCCAGTGCCCGAAAACTGTTAGGTCCCGATAAACGTTGGCTGGTGAGCAGCCTGTGAGGCTGGCCCCTCCCGTGCCACCCCGCAGCGAGGTCCAGTGCACAGGGTGTGGGCCCAGGTCGGGACACCCGCATCTGGATCTCCACTCAGCCACCCACCTGCCGGAGTCCTTTCCTGGGCCTGTTTCTCCATCTATAAAAGTAGGACGTGGACTAGTGCACAGTCCTCTCAGTGTTGGGAGATGGGGAGTCACAGGGACCAGAGGACTTTCCTGGCGTTGAGTGCCCAAGTGCCAGAGGCTCTGAGTGCCCTGCACTGAACAGGAGAGTTCCTCACTGCAAAAAACCGTGCCCCGCCCCAAGGAAAGCAGTGCCCCAAGTGCCCCCGTTGAGAAACCCTGGTTAGTGATCTCACAGGTCCCTACCGGATCTGGGATTCTGAAAACATTCCCTCTAACTCATAATCAAACATTCAAAAAAAAAAAATCCTTACCCTGAAATGACAGCTTCTAGCGTTGCTGCCTCAGAGACGAGGGGCTGCTGCGGTTGAGATAAGCAGCCCGGCCCCAGAGGGACCGGGAAGGCGCCTGGCAGCTCCGAGCTCTGCGCCGCCCCTCCGCAGTCGGAGATAATGACGGTTACACTCGGGGAGCAGGCTTCCTGCTCTCTGAAGCCCGGTAAACACACCGGTTACCGCCTTTGATCGCCAATGCTGGGAGGGTGCAGGCGAGGAAATCAGGGTTCAGAATGGCTTAGAGGTGTGTTCAAAGTCACCCAGCTGGTGAGTGACCCACTCGGATTGAATCACGTGCCCTTTCCCCTCCCCACCCAGGCAGCCTTGATGGGGCTCCCCTGCCTTCCCCCCCGCCAAAGAGTGAGTGTCCACTGTGTCCACTCACCTGCCTTCCCAGGAAAAGAGAAGCATCTCAAGACTCTGAAACGCAGCCCAAAGCTTAGACATCCTCCCCTCCCCCACCATCCCATTGATGAGACACACATATCCTCACCTACCATATATTTCAAAAATCAAATTTGAAATTAAAACAAAAAAGCAGGAATGGCCCAGGGAACAAGCTTGAGAGCCAGCTTCCGGGACCTGGTCAGGAGGTGGAAGGAACCCCCTCTTCAGAGAAGTGCTGGCCGGCCGGGGCTCAAGAACCTGCGACCCCTGAGCAGTGACAGCAGGGAAGGCAAGGAGCCCCACTGTCACGGGGGGGCTCACGGCACCCTTCATGCCCCCCTCCTGGACGCCTCAGCCCCCTGCCCAGCCCCGACTGCCCCGGCCAGCCCCCACAGCACTCACACGAGCACCGCACCACGGGGTCCAGGCCGGGGTCAGAACACAGACAGGCGTGTGGAGTCTGACCTTGTGCTAAGCTGTCACCCTGTGTCAGGGGTGTGCGAGTGACAAAGGCATCTTCCCTCTTCACCAAAGATCTGCTGGGTGAGGACCAAATGTCACCCTGCTGTTTCAGATCCTTTACGGCTTGTCTCCTAGACCGGCGGCCTCGGTGTCACCTGGGAGCGTGTTTGGACTGTCGCCGCATCCAGACCCGCTGACCCTGCCGCCTGTTAACAAGCTCCCTGGGCGGTTGCTGTGCTGGCCCCTCACTTCTCACACTCCAGCCACGCCGGCCGCCCGCTGGTTCCTTAAATACGCCCAAGTCTTCACCATTTCGGGCCCTTCCCACTTGCTGTTCCCCCTCCTAGGAGTGGGCGCCCCCTAGATTCTCACTATTCAGGTCTCAGGCTGAGTGTTGCTGCTGCAGAAGAGCATCCCCAGACTCCCTGACCCGAAATCTGAAATCGGTCCCCCACTAGCACCCCTCAAAGCACCTTGCACCTCTCTTCAGGCACGCGTATCACCGCCCTACCTTAGCCGGACCGTGTGGTCCATTAGTCCTCTGTGCCCCCACTGGAATGCACCCTTCGGCAGGGCAAGCCCCCCATCCGTCCTGTACACCTGGGCCCCAGCATGGAGCAGAGTGCGCAGCACACGGTAGCACAGAAGTACTGATTTTTTTCTCAGTGGATCAGTGTAGGACAAATCCAGCCCTCCCTCCACTGTGCAGGCTCACATTAACTATACCGTAAATTAACCCATGGGCTCACTCTGCAAATGAGTAACTAGGGTCTAGAAAAAGGTGGGGACTTGACCAGGGTCACCAAGCAAGTCTATACCAGGACCCCGGCCTCTGACCTTTTAGGACTCCACGCCTCAAGCCACGCCCAAACCCCCCTGCATGTCGTTTGTGCAGCCTGACAAAGCAGGATGTTTGCAGGGGCCACTGACCTACATTGTGAGTAATTGCATTATGCAGAGGGACTCTCAGGCCAGCTGCTCTCCCGTCAATGCACAGATGGGGGAGCCCTTCCCCCAGCAGCTTCTGTATGCCTCCCGCTGAGCAGCAGCAGCTGGACCAGGAGTCAGGTGCCAGCACTTGCAGCCTCTGGCCACCACAGGCAGGCGTGGCCTCCCTGCTGGGTGCTGCGCCCTGTCTAGCCCCATCCTGCGGGAAGAGCATTTTATCGGCTGAAATTCAGCCGGCAGCACCAAAGCACAACCTCCCCAGAGCTCCAGGGGCTTCAGGGCAGGCCTCTGTTGAACATTTAGCAATTAAGTCATTCCTCCCACGAGCAGCACCTCACAGTTTAAGGAGCAGCTTTGTACCCACTGTCTGCTTCAAATTTGACAGGATGCTTTGAGAGCGGCAAGGTGAGTTAGGAAAAGCACATGGCGAGGGAGAAAAGAACACTGGTTTGAGAGTCAGACAGACCTGGGTTTGAATTTCAGCTCTAACACTTTCTAGCTGGAGATTTGGGGCAAGTTACTTAACTGCTCTGTGCCTCAGTTTCCTCATTTGTAAAATGAGTACATGCCAAGGATTCTTGTGAGGCTTTGACAGGATAACAGGTATAGAGCTTGCCGCTCTATCATCGTCGTCATTCGTGACAGGCATTTCTTGGTGTCCTTAGGGTGGCTGTGATTGGGGAAGTCCACCCATTCTCCCTCCGGGGCTGCCTCTCATGGAATTACCCTGATCGTACTAGAATGGAAGACCCATGAGGACAAGGCTCTCGTCAGCCCGAGATTGCTGCCTTCCCCGTGCCCAGAATGCTACCGGCAAATGGCAGTGCTTGGTAGTTACATATTAAATGAGGGAATGAATGAATGAATGAATGAGGTGAGCAGCAAGTAAGGAACAAAAACAAAGAGAAAAGCAGGTTGAGCTTGCTTGTAGGTCAGTCTGGAGAGCAAGGGAAACATTCTTAGGCCAGCAGAGAGGCCGTAGTCCACAGCCGGGCGGGGAGGTGGGCCTGTAGTCTTGTCTCAGGCCCTGAGGTGAGACCCAGCTTGGCATCTGTAGGGGGCAGCGCCCTGTGCTCACTGGCTCTGGGCTGCACGGCTGGCCCACAGTAGAAGCAGGGTGAATGGGATGGGCAGGTACAGCCAGGGGCCCTCCACTCCTCCGTAGTAGGTCCCCCTTCCCATGCCCCAAGAGCGGGATGGGGGTCCTCCATGATGCCTGGAGATCCGGCCTTGTTTAAGGCCAGTGGTGCCTTCTAAAGTAGTACAGGATGCTGCTGAGGGCTTCATCACAGACAGCCCCACCAAGACACAGATGTAGTTCTGTGTCCCCAGCAGAGGTTGATCCACAACCTCTGAGAGCAACTCATAGATGCCCAGGCCATTGCCGCCACGTCTGCAGAGGCCAGCACTGGGCGGGACTCTCTGCACAGTTCTTTGCTGTCCTCTAGTGGCGGATTGGTGCACAACAGTGATTCCAAGTCAGCGCTTCAGGTGGTGGCTGGGCTCCCTGCCCCCTCCCATTGCCTGGGCAGGCACACCTCTCCCTCCTGCAACCCCCTAAAGCCAACCCCAATCCCTGCCATTCTGATCCGTATCCAGTGTGCACAGGCCTGTGTGAGGGTGACATGCACTACCAGGAGATCGCTGTGGCTTATTTCTGGATGGGAGCCTGGGTCCTGGGGAGATGGGGGCATCTCTGTCCCCCGCCCAGCCTCAGAACCGCTGACTTCTCTGAAATCTCAGTGAGCCCTTGGTTCTTCTGCCGTCTGCCCAGCTCTGCAGCCAAGGCTGTGCTTCAGCTGATGGCGATGGGTGGGGGCTAAAAGACCAGATGTGAGAATTAGGGTTCCAGGATTCAGAAAGTCAGAGCAGACGGCGATGGGGACTGGGGTCGGGGGAGGGGGTGTGGGGATGGTGGTTACTGACAGGGGGAAGATAAGCAGGCTGGGATGTCAGCTCCAGAAGCGGGGGGACAGAGCTAACAGCAGTTGGGTGAAAATCACCTGCTGGGGCTGAGTCAGCCCTAAAGAACATCCAAATCACCAGTGCAAGGTCGTTCCTTGAAAGCCAAGGAGACCTGGAGCAAGGTGCAGGCAGACTCACCTTCCCCAGGAGGGTGAGCTCAGTCCTAGGCCTGCAGATCAGTGGTAAGCTCAAGCAGGTTGAAGGCCCAGGTCAACCTCTGGGAGACGATGATGTGTACCTTCACGGTGTCTCCCCGCTCCTGAAGAAGAATGTGCAGACTCAAGGAGAGAGCTTGGGATTATTCCGGGGAGCCCAAGAGGCACAACCAGTGGGTGGAGGTGCAGGAGGAGAAAGTTCTTGCTCAAGAGTGCAGGGAAGGGTCTGTCACGGGCGGGGGGGGCGGGGGTAAGTAATCCAGACGACTGTTGTCAGCTTCCCGTGAACAGAGTTATTGTCACATTGAACAAAGGTGTGTGGCAGAATCAGTCCTCTCACAGATAATCCAAGGGTCCATCACAAATTATTGCTTTCATTGTGGAAGAGCAGACCCAGTCATCATTGACGGGTTTGCTCTTCGTGCATGACCGTGGCGGGCCTGCTGCACTGCAGTGTCGCTTGTTGTCCAATGTCAGAGAAACCCACGTTCCCCACAAAGTCACTGGTGACCTCAGGGCAACTCCTGTCTCAGTCTCCTCAGTTAAACCATGCAAGGACACAGGACACGCCCATCACCCTTGGTAGAATCCAGCCCAGCTCCTGGGTTGCATAGCAGGAGAGAAGGAATCTCTAGCCTTGGCCATGCTGACCTTGGTTCCTGGGGATCACCTTGCCCCGGTGCCCACCGCTACCACTGCAGAGCCTTAAGGAACCCCTCGCCCCTCTGGCACTCCAGCCTGTGTGTGGACTCAGTGGCCACGGAGACATGGAGGCTGAACTAAGGCTTTCTGTGGCTTGAGACAGCAAAGGGGAGTCAGGCTCTGGAGAACATGCAGTGGGGTGGTCAGGTTGGTGGACAGCCTGAGCCCACAGGCTGCACCACTCCTGGCACTCCTGCTTCCCCAACTCAGAGGTGTCCCTGCCATTGCTGCCTCAAAGGCCAGGCCTAGAGGACAGGGCCAGGAGAAAGAGGTTTCCATCCTCCACCCGCCCAAGGCCTGCCTCCTACATCACCAGAGTGCCCCTTCTGGCCAGCCCTTACCCTCCAGCATGTGGCTTTACCCCGGGCCTCAATAGGGCAACTACGTCCTGAACACAGTTCTTTGACAAGATGACCTCAATGGTTCTGTTTTAAAGACAAACAGGTTTGCAGAGAAATCTTTGACTTAATACATTTCTTGACAGTGTATGGATATAGCAATTCCAAAACTAGTTTGGGCCTATTTGTAGGATTAAACAAATGAGAGACCATTTTGATGTTACCAGAAACCAGTGTTCTCACTGTAAAAGAAGAAAGATGCAAATGTGAAATAGAGGGAAGCAAGCAAGACCCCTGTGATGTGAGAGTTTATATCGACAGACAGGTGATAGAAAGAAAGATAGAATGATGATGGAGGGAAGGAAGGAAGGAACATATGTACATACACGCGTACGTGGACCTATAAGTCATGATGCCCCAGAAACGGTGAGCACATCTAGTGCCCAGATCTTGGCTTCTAAACACCAGCCCCAGCCGAACAGAACCAGGGCTCCTTGGAGACATGGCTGATTCCAAGACTGGTGAGAGAAAAGTGTGAGGAGACCTTGGGACGTCCTGTGCCAAGAAGTAAAAAAGTGCTCAAAAAAAATTATGGGGACACAGTGAAAGACACGGAAGGCAGCATGAAGGGGTTTTCCATTAGCCAAGTCTGGGGGGAAATGAGCATCGAAATGAGTAATCGCGTTATGGGAGTCTAAGACACTGAATTAAATAAAAACATGAAAGTCCATACTGATATACATTTTAAAAGTGAGCAGAAAGGGAAGATCTTGTTTACAGTAGAATGCCACATATTTGAATGGAATCACAGAATTGGAAAATCACTGTTGTGCAGCCCCCAAAGCACTGTGACTCAGGTGAGAATCATCAGTGGATGCTGGAACCACCGAGTTCATGTTTGTGGGGGAACAGGACGCCCACACAGGCTCCAAGTGTCTCCAGCAGATCATTGATTAATCACGAAGGGGAAATGGCACCTTTAAAGTGGAGAGTTCTGGCAGACGTCCCTTCAACCGAATGGTCACAGTTATCATGGCCAGTAATGGGACCAAGTGCCACCGAGTGCCCCTGAGTGAACCACCAAGGAGATCAAAACATCACTGGCGTAGGACTCCTGCCAAGAATGCACAACCTGAGTCTCATCATGGAGACACATTCAGACAACCCCAGGCGGAGGGGCATTCTACCAAGTAACCGAACGGGGCACTTCAGAAATACCAATGACACAGAGAACCAACCGAAGCAGGCTGGGGAGCTGCCGGAGATCAGAGGAGACTGAAGGCATGGCGAGAAAATGCAGCACACGGCCCATGGCGGCCTTGAAGGGCGTCATCAGGCCAACTGGTGACATTTGACAGTGGGTGATACGTTAGATAATATACTGTATCTTTGTTAAGTTTCTAGAATTTGGGCAAGCATGCATTTAGTTATGTAAGAGATCGCCTTGTTCCTAGGAAATACATGTGAGACGTTTAGGGGTGATAGGTCAGCATGTCTGCAACTTACTCTCAATGATTCAGGAAAAATGTCTCTACAGTATATATATCTTTTCATCCTCTGGGTGTCTTTTTCTCCTCTTGCCACCTCCTCCTCAACTCTCTCCCAGAGTTTCCCAGTTCTAACTCCGGAGCTTGGGTGGGATCCTCCGGACCACCCCTCTTAAAGCACTCTGCACTAGGAAACTGCAGGAGTCTCCGACGAGCCTCTGGATTGGCTGCATAGGGTCAGGTGCCCAGCCCTTATCCTGTCAGCTCTGGCCCCCCGTGGACCACATGGTACACAGCATGGCACTCCACCATAGCTCCCTAGTGGGGTGGTGGGTGAGAGGATCTCCTTGGAAGGGCGTGGCAGGCCCCGTGACTGGCCCAGACAGTAGATCTGTGTCTCCAGCTCCCCAAGTAAATCCCAGAGATACCTCCAGGCCTCTTGACCTACTTCTGTGCCTCATTCTTGCCCTCACTCTTTCAGCAAATGTTACAGATCCCTGCTCTGTGCCAGGCCTTGTGCTAGGTTCTAGGGGCACAGAAGTGACCCAGTTCTACCCTCAGGAGCGCCAACAAAGTTGGGAGGGCATGAAGAACGCAGATAACTTTAGTGCAGGCTGAGTCACGACCAACCAATGGAAGACAGTCAGCAGTGGCTGAGGCCCGCCCCCATGGGAACACAGGTGGGGAAAGAGGTGGCGTCTGAGAAGCCTCCTGGACAGTGTCACTGGCTGGGGCTCATGGGAAGGAAGAGGGCAGTCAGAGAGGGACCCCGAGGCTGGAGGGGTGCCCGGTGCCATCCCTGGGTTTCTGTCTGTTCTTTGCACAGCCGGACCCAGCGGGACGGGACATCTCCATCCGCCCTCTCCTGGAGCACTGTGAGAACACCCACATGACCATCTGGCTCGGCATCGTCTACGCCTACAAGGGCCTCCTCATGGTAGGTGCAGAGCCGGGGGCGGGGCGCAGGGAGTCGCTTCTCAGTTAGACCCTCTCCCCCAGGGGACCTCCATCAACATAAAAATAAACAGGCCCCCAGGACTAGGCACTTGCTGCATGCCAGGCTGGTATCTGCCTCATGTGACCGCAGTTCCCATAACAACCCCGTGATCTAGCACGAGCAACGTTCTGTCTCACTGAGGAATACCCTGAGGCTCTGTTTGCCCAGGGCCCTCCCGCTAGTGGTGGAGTCAGAAGCGGGGTTACAAGAGAGGAAGCCCAGACCCTGCAAGTGTGCCTCTGTGCAGCTGCCACCGTGCCGCCCCGGGAATGGCAGTCTGTGGACACCTAGCACGCACTCACATCCTGACTCTCACTGGCTTCTCTACATCCGTGGGAGGTTAGCGGCCTCGTCCAACTTTATGGATGAGAGTAAGGCTCGGGGAGGTCAGGGGATTTGCCAGAGGCCACCTGGGAACCTCCCATCTGGAACCTCCACTCTGCTCATTGGGTTAACATCAGAGGTCTCCTACCGAGCCACCTCACACAACCGTGGAATTTCAAAGGCAGGAAGGACTTGAAAGGTCAGCCCCACCTTATCTCGTCCCAGATTGATCCCTGAATCTTCTCTCCATATCCCGTGAAACTGCACCTCCACTTAAAGTCCCCCGCCCCCCACCCCAGTGACAGGAAGCTGCTACTACTCCCCCGTCAGATGTTTCCGCAGGAAAATGAAGCCGCCACCTGCCTCTGTGCGGCCTCCTCTTACTTGGAAGCGGGAAAGGAAGCCCTTCCCAAAGGCAGATAACTGGGATTCCTTCCGCTGCTCCCCTGCCTCCCGGCCTGCTCTGATCCCGGCCTGCTCTGATCCTCCCAGGGGCCACGGCAGAGGAGCAGGTGTTAGAGGACCCGGGCCAAAGACCGTCCCCACCTCAGGCTAGCTGAGCCCTTCTCGTGTTTCCATAGAGGTCCTTTGAGAACTACTGGGCGACCATGACCTGGAAGTGTCCACAGGAGGTGCCCAGACTGGAAACGGGACCTTGAAGACTGGCCTAAGGTCCTAGGCTTAGAGAAGGACACTTTCTGGGGACATGGTCACCAGAGCTGTCAGAAATAGGTGGCACAGACCCAAGGGCAGAACCGTTGTCAGTGGGCAGAGGGGCCGGAAGGCAGCCCTCCGGTCCCTGTGGGGCAGGGTTGTGTATAACAAAGCAGTGTTCACAGAAGTGGAGGAGCCTCTGGGAAGGCGTGAGCTCCCTGTCACAGGACGTGGACAACACCCATCACTTGGGTTTCCCCGGCCCTTGTCGAACAGAGTGACACTAGACTCTTCCCGGGATCCCTTCAGCCTCCCTGTCCTCGATCCTGATGCCGTGAAATTAGATTATGTGACTCAGATTGACTCGTAACTGGATTGGTCTGTAGTGTCTTGGCCGTTCATTATCCTCCCCACCTACTTCCAGAAGTGGTTGGAGGTGGCAGTCTCTCCTCCAGGGAAGCTAATGCCCTCAGTCAGAGCACGTCAGTAAAACCGTGTTTGACAGCACAAATGTGTGACTGTTTCCAGCGCGTGCGGAGAACTGTCCGCAGCCCTCCTGGCCCCTGGGGTTCGTAACTAAAAGCCCCCCTCTTGGCCCCTCCTGCTCTGGAACCTCGGACTCTCGGGGCCGGAAAGAGCGCTCACAGCCCTGGGTGCTGCTCCACCGTCAGCAGCCTCAGCCCCACAGACCACCGTGCGCATCCCCAGCGAGTGCTCTCTCCCCACGGCTTCCACGCCTCCGGTCATGGGGAGCTCACCCCCTTCAACGCAGCCTGTGCCAGCCGTGGATGGCAGAGCAGTTTCCTGTGGCTGCCCTAACAAAGTACCACAGACGGGTGGCCTCAAACAACAGAAATGTATCCCCCACAGTTCTGGGGGTCTGAGGTCAAGGCAGAGTCGCGCTCTCTCCAAAGGCTTGAGGGGAGAGAGCTTCCTCGTCTCTCGCAGGGTCTGGTGGCCCCAGGAATTCCTCGGCTGCTGGCCTCCTTGCTCCAGGCTCCGCCTCAGCCTGCACACGGCCTTCCCTTCAAGTCTGTCCGCCTGTGTCTCTCACAGCGACTCTTGTCATTTGATTTGGGGCCCACCCGGATAATCAGGGTGATCTCGTGTCAAGGTCCTCAATCAGTTTTATCTGCTGAGACTTTCTCCGAATAAGTTCACATTCACGGTTTTCATGGATTAGGATGCAGATATATCTTTTAGGGCCACCCTTCAAACCACTATGGATGGGTCGCTTTTCTAGAAAGTTCTCCCTTACCCTCAGCTGACATCGGCCTCCATGTAACCTGTGCCCGTGAGCCCTCACCGCCCTCCTTGAAGGCCTGTAACAAGCTACTCTCCGCTTCCTCCTGGCACTCTCCCGAGATATGCAGCCAGCCAACAGGCCCACAACGCGCCCATGTTTCGGGATGGTCTGGTGGCCCCCTGGCAGTGGGGGCAGAGAGGGGGCACGCAGACCCCCACCCCTCAGAGAACAGAGGCCCGGCCCCCAGCCGGCCCTGACTCTCACTGCTGAAGGACCCGGCAGGTCCCCTCACCCCTCCCAGCCTCCGCTCCTTCCCCTATGAGCCTCAGGCAGCCCCCCCAGGCCCCTGTGGGAGGGCAGGGCACAGCCCACGGGACCCAGCCCACGGCCGGCTTCCACAGCCGTTGGCTTCCTCTCTCCGTCCGGTGTCTGCTTCCTGGGCCTCTGGTTCCCCATTTTAAAAGGAGTTTTTAAGAACTAAATCGGTCTGTGAGATAACACACCAAGAAAAGGAGAGGAAAACAACCACAATTCTACAACATACTACCAGTTACAAAATGGCTTTCAAATTCCGTACAGGACATTTTCACTACAAACTGCTCTCACCTCCGCCCTCTCGTCTCACCCAGAAGGAAGCCCTGTGAGACATTATTATTCCTGTTGTTGTTATTCCCATTTCACAGATACTGAAACTGAGGTCCTGGGTGGCGAAGTGACTTGCCCAGAGTCACACGGCCCGTGGGCAGCAGAGCAGACTCCAGCCCCTCCAGCCCTGTGCCAGCACCCCTTCTGCTCCACAACACTGTGCTGACCCAGCACAGTGACCCCCAGCGGGCCCTCACTGTGACACCAGGTGGCCCGTGCAGATGTTGGGAGCCCCAGCTGCAGTGATGCCATCAGCAGGGAGAAGGGCCTCTGAGGGGAGGCCTCCTGCCAGTGCTGGGCTGCAGCTAAGCCCCCACACCAGCCGGCAGTCGCCCCAGCTCTTCCTCCCTCCCTCACCACCGGTTCTGCCCTGCACTTCCTCTGCACTTCCTCTGCAGCCTGCCCACCCCTTCGACCACCTGTGAAGATGAACTCCCTGCACCCTGCTTCAGATTACATTTGAGTTCTACCCTGCTCAGTTCTGCTGACAGATATTGGTTAAGATAATAATAATAATAATAGTGGTTAAAGACATAATTAATTTGTTCATTTCCTTCTCAAGCAAGCAATCTAGGAGAGGTGTAGAGGCTCCCAGCAGCTGAGCTCCTTGCCTCTCATGGCTCCTGCATCTTCCCCATGCTGCTTCCTCATTGTGGTTGGATGGCTGCTGAAGCTCCACCCATCACATTCCACTCCATCTGTTAGGAAGGATCCTTTTCTTTAAAGACCCTTCCCAGAACTTGTATGCACTTGTACATACTATATGGCATTGGCCAGAACCTAGTCGTGTACAGACTAGGAAATAGAGTCTCTCTTCCAGGTAGCTATGTGCATTGTGGGGGCAACAGAAGTCCCAGACACAGGGGCTCTGCCTGCTTTACTAGAAAAAAGACTGGACTGAACTTCTGCAGACGCATTCCACTTTTGCCACCATACTTCTCTGTGGCCTTGGACGAGCCCCTTCCTCTCCCTGGGCCCCTGTGTTCTCTATAGAATGAGGGAAAGGGTTGAGGTCATGTCTGGTCTTCCCACTATGGCCTTCCCTTCTGTGGGTCTGTGCAGGAACCAGGGGTGGGGGCGTAGGACGACCGGACAGCTGTATCACTCCCAGTCCGCACCCCCAGATCCACCCCGGGGCCACGAGTGGAGACAGACCGTGACATCCAGAAGACCTGGTGGACAGCGAAGCCCCAGGCTCCCTCCCCGCAGCCGCCCCCCCCCCTTCCCGAGCAACCTGCAGTTCAGCTGGGTTGCTGCTCAGAGCAGCGAGCGTGTGCCGCCGCTCGGAAATGACCTTCTTCCCTCTCTCTTCACCGTTTCAGTTGTTCGGTTGTTTCTTAGCTTGGGAGACCCGCAACGTCAGCATCCCCGCGCTCAACGACAGCAAGTACATCGGGATGAGTGTCTACAACGTGGGCATCATGTGCATCATCGGGGCCGCCGTGTCCTTCCTGACCCGGGACCAGCCCAACGTGCAGTTCTGCATCGTGGCCCTGGTCATCATCTTCTGCAGCACCATCACCCTCTGCCTGGTGTTCGTGCCCAAGGTACCGGCCTCGCCGCCGGGCCTCCCGCCCTGGCCCCCGCAAGGGGGTCGCTGACTCTTTTCCACGTCCTAAGTTCTGCACGTGCTTTTGTTAGTGATGGTCACAGTTCGCATCACAGAAAGTTGGGGAAATGCAGAAAAGTAAAAAACAGATTTTTCAGAAATCTCACATAGGCCCACCACCCCAAAATAATCACTGTTAATGTTTTGTTGGGGTTTTTTACTGTTAATATTTTGGATGTGTTTCTTCCGGTGCTTTTTTAATAACTAGACATTGATGCTTTTTTATATATAGCTGTGATTATAGCACAGATATTGCTTTGTAGTTTGCCTTTTTCACTTAATTTTTGTCCTTTGCGTTCCCCCGCCTTTATAACCGTCATCGGGGGGAAGTTCCATATGTACCGGCCCACTTAGTCTCTCACTGGTGAGCACTGCCGTCGTCTCCAGGCTTTCTGTACTGTAAATAACATTTTTTCTACATAACACGTTCTCCTTATTTCCAGTCATTCCCTTAAGATAGAGCAGCAGCCGTAGTATCAGTGGGTCAAACGAATGATCATCTTAACAGCCACTTACATTTTTCATTCATCGGAAAAGCTGGCCTTCAGGACCACCCTGTGAGGTGTTTTTCAGACATCATCCCACCCCACAGCAGGCTGGGGAACCGGAGGCCTTGATCTCCCGGGAGCCCGAGGGGAGCCGGCCCTCGGCGGGTCTGCTGGGTCTGCTGGGTCTCAAGGGCAGAGACGAGCAGGAAACAGAGTGGAGAGAGAGTGTCTGCCCAGGAGGAGGATCGGGGAGAGGTCACTCAGGCTCCTTCCTCCCCAAGAGGCTGGCCGAGCACTCACCTGTGTCCCCCCTGGGGGCCCGTCAGCCCCCAAGCAGTGTCAGCTCTGCCCTACATGCCTCTGGCGTGCCCGCCCTCCTCCTCTGGTTGCCAGCACCTGCCCGGGCTCCAGGCCGGTGCCACGGCTCCTCTGCCTGCACCCAGAACATGCCCCGGGAGCCTAAGCCCAGCTCCGACCGTGTCACTCGGCTCTGTCACCCTCCATAAGTCACCCTCTGGCCCTGCACTGCCCTTCGTCTCCTCCAGTCCCTGCAGAAATCCCAGTCCACCATCCAAACCACCCTCCTCCACGAGCGCCCTGAGCCCCAGGCCTCCCTGTGAGGGCGAATGCCGCTTCTTCCCCCTGGGATTCCCTTATGCTCACCATCCTTCCAGACCTTCCGCAGAGCTCAGCCCCTCCCCTCCGGACCACGAGGTCCAGCCGGCCGGCCGTGAGGCCCCTGCTCTGCAGGACTGAGCCCAGAGCCGGCCTCAAACCCCAGATGTTTCTCGACTAAAGGAGTAAGATCAGGGTCAAGTGGCAACCTTTTCTCTAGCATGTAAATGGCTTTGTCAGCAATAGAGCTACTCACTAGTCACTCATCAGTGGCTCTAACAGGGAGAAGCCATCACTTCCCTCCACCCTGTTGTCGTCACACTGTCACCCTCGGGTTTATTTCCCACACCTGGGTGAGGCCTGAGGCAGAGCGAGGCTCAGCCGGAGCCAGGCCTGCGGGCCCTCGGGGGGCTCTGCAGGATGGTTGGGGTGGCGGAGGAATCGGGGTCCAGGGACCAGACCTGCACTGAAAGGAAAGACACTGAGACTCGGCGAGGGAAGGGGCTGCCCAGGTGGCACACAGGGGGGATGGCAGGCAGTCCTGTGTCCCCTCTGTGGCCCCGTTGCCTCCAGTGCAGGACCTGCCGGGAAGGACTGGATGGAGGAGGGCCGTGGGGATCTCTCTTCACACCCGCCTCTGTCCTTTCAGCTGATCACTCTGAGGACAAACCCAGACGCAGCCACTCAGAACCGACGGTTCCAGTTCACTCAGAATCAGAAGAAAGAAGATTCCAAAACATCCACCTCAGTCACCAGCGTGAACCAAGCAAGCACATCCCGCCTGGAGGGCCTGCAGTCCGAAAACCACCGCCTGCGCATGAAGATCACAGAGGTACCTCCCGAGGCACTGCCGTCGGCGGCCTGTCCACCCACCGGGGTCCCCGTCGGAGCCCCCCCGCAATGCGGGGACTCCCTGGCCTGCCGCTGCCACCACACCTCCTCCGGGACACCCCTGCCTTGTGGCTGTGCAGTCCCACCTGCTGCCACTGTGGCTGTAAGAGTGTGGGGGGCGGGGACATGAACTATACAGAGGCCGTTACTCAGAATCTGGCAGAAGTTTATCTATCGCCCACCTGGGCCAGGTTCTGGGGGTCCGGTGATGCCCTGATTCAAATTGGACATCCCCAGAGAAAAAGGCATTCCTAGAGATCGGTGAACTTCCAGATTAGGGTAGTGAGTTGGAAAACCTCAGTTGTACACCTCCTGTGTGGCTCCTTCACTGCTCACACAGGACACTCACTTCTGACACTTCTGGTCGCCAAATGTGTGTGTGTGTGTGTGTGGGCGGGGGGTGTTCCCCACACCAAGCACTTCCCTGTGGCACCAGCTGGGCGTCTGAGAGTTTAGCTCATTTTTAACTGTCTACCTGGGGACAGTGTCAGATCCCACAACGCCTCTCCCGCCCCACTTCAGGGGCCAAGCACAAGCCGTAGGTCCCCGGGTTGTCCTTAGCTTCAGTCTGACTTGGCTGCAAATCGGAGCACCCCAGCGTCCCCTCCTCAGGTTCAAATACTTTGCTAGAGCAGCTTATGGAACTCAGGGAAACACTTACAAATGTAAGTTTATTAAGGGGTCATGATAAAGGATACAGAGGAACAGCCACATGACGAGACACACAGGGCAGGGTCTGGGAGGGCCCCAGGCCCGGGAGTTCTGCGCCCCCGGGGCTGGGGTGCATCCTCTTCCTGGTGCAGAGGTTCGTCTGCCGGCCGCAGAGCTCTCCGAACCCGGCACTTCTGGGATTACTGTGGAGGCCCCACCAGGCAGGCCGGACCCTTCATGAAGTCCGTTTTCAGCCCTTCTCCCTTCTCAAGGAATTGAGAGTGGGTCCGAAAATCCCAAGCTCCTAATCACAGCTTGGTCTTCTGGATGACCCACCCTCCCCGGGAGCCCACCCAGAGTTGCCTCATGAAAGTAAGAAACATGCCTGTCACCCAGGAACCCGCAAGGGTTTCGGGAGCCCCGTGTTGAGAACCCAGGCAGCAGAGGACCGAGTTGATCTATTGTTTGCCCAGTAGCTCCCTAACCGTGTGCTGCTCCTCCAGGTTTCACTCTCCCTGCACACCCCGCAATCACCTGCATCTGTGGGATGTATCCGGAGAGGAGGAAATGAAGAGAAACATTCGGGAAAGAGAGATCGCGGCCGCAGACCTCCCCTTTGTGCGGAAGGTCCTTAACTGGGGCCTCAGTACTTCAGAGAGGCCCAAACTAGACTCCTCTGTGCCCAGACAAACCTCAGATCCTGCACTTCCTATACCAGGGAGGGGAAACCAAATTACCTTCTTCTGTCCACCCCTCCCTTCAGGTCAGGGGTTGGGGCTGGGCCCACGGCGCCTGGGCCGTGTGTTTAATAGAGGAATTCTGATTCAGTGGGACAGCAGAGGAATAAAGGGGAGTGTGCTAGTTAGGATACCGGCTAAGTCTCCATAACAAAGAAGCACCCAAATAAAGTTGCCCAGGGAAAATATACATTCATTTCTCTCTCACATAACAGTGCTAAGGAGAGAGGCCCAGATGGGCAGCAGCTCTGCTCCCCAAGGTCAGAGGTCGTTGCCGGCTGAGACCCCTTCACTCTGGCCTGCCCCTCCCCAAGGCGTGTGTTGTCCTCAGCTGCACAGTCAAAGCCGGGGGAAGGCACGGCCTGTTCTCAGTCTCAGGAAGGAAAGAGGGGAAGTCCCTGCAGGGGACTGCCTTTCAAGCAAGTGAAACAAAACTGTGCACATCTGGGGTTCGCTCCAGGCACATGGACAAGAACTCACACGTCACCCTCAGCCACGGGGAGGCTGGGACCTGCAGTCTCCAGCTAAGAGTCCCGAGGAACAGGGTCGTCAGGTTAGACACAGGATGCCCAGTTAAATTTTAACTCCTGACAAACAGCCAATCATATTTTTCAGTGTAAGTATGGCCCATACAACACTGGGGATATACTTACTCTAAACACTTATTCCTTGTGACCTGAAATTCAGATGTGATGGAGCATCTTGTATTTTTAGTTGCTAATCTGGTCGTGCCCACCATGGGGGCTCCAGGAGCCTGCCACAAAGACCTCCCAAGCCGGCTGCTAGGGCGGACAGCCCTCCGCTGCCGCCACCGGAGCACAGCGGGGAAGCTTCCTGGTCCTCGGCTGCACGTGCTCACTCCAGCCCTGAGCGAGCGCTCCTGCAAGGGAACCCAGACCCCACGCCGCTGTCGGAGCCCTCTGCGTTGGGCTGGTTTTCTGGAGTTGAATCACGATCTGGCTTCCTGTTGCTTCCACCCTTTGACCCTAGCCTTGCCTTTTGAGTCCCACAGAAAAGGGTCTCTCTCCTCCTCCTCCACGTGAAAACTTATTAAACAACTCACGGCTGTGCTCTTGACATCAGAACAGCACCTTTCAGTGTGTAGGGTCCCCTCCCTTATATTGCAGGTGCAGGCCCACTCCCCTCCCCAGCTCCGTCCACTCCCCAACACGCACCCACTCCCCAGGCTCTCGGGGGCTGAACTGACCAGGGCGTGCTTCTGGGTTTTATACAGGGTCTAGCACAAATAAGGCCCCCGTTTTATTACAAAATCTTTTATTACAAAGTCGTAAGCTTGCACTTCTGTAACATAACAATGTCACACTCAATACACCATATGACCTTTTAGGTGAAATGTTCAAATTAAAACTATAAATTATTACACCCGTATTATTACCCTACCAACCACACTCAAGCAGGCATTACTTTGGCTGGACCCTGGATAGCCTGGGGGTGACAGGGCTCTATCCTGCTTAACCCTTCTGAAGGCACTGCCCCTGCCCTGCATCTGTGACAGTGTGAGACCCAAAACTAACCGGTCCTGTAGACCTGTCCCGCCCTGTACACCAAGGGTTCTGCTAGTATCCATGATAATAATTACAGGAATATTATAGTAGTAGGTTGCTCATACTATGTGTCAAGCACTGGGCTAAACTTTTATTATATTATCTCATTTAATCTTCACAAGATCCCTGTGAGGTAGGTACTGTTACTACCCCATTCCACAGATAAAGGAACTGAGACTCACTTCTCACCAGCCAGCTCTCAGCCAGTAAGGAGCAGCCCTGGGTTTGCCCCTGGCGCGTCCAGCCTCAGAACCTGCGCTGTGATGCTCTCCCCCCACCCCGCCTCCCTGGCTGCTCCCACAAGGCACAGCCTGCACTGGACACATCATCGCAAAGCCCAGGCCCCTCTCTTCACAGCTTCTCCTGGGACAAGAGCCGGCAGGGGCCTCCTGCGTCTCTCCCCCAACACACAGCAGCCCCTCCGGCTCTCAGTGCCCAGCCCGAGGCCCAGACCTGTAACCCTGTGTGTCACTTCTTGCCTCTTGAGGCTTGGCTGCTGGGCCAGAGCTCTGACTCAGATGGAGCCTTTGCCTTCTAGCTGGATAAAGACTTGGAAGAGGTCACCATGCAGCTGCAGGACACGCCAGAAAAGACTACCTACATTAAACAGAACCATTACCAAGAGCTCAACGACATCCTCAGCCTGGGGAACTTCACCGAGAGCACAGGTAAGAGGAGGCGGGGCTCCTGTAATGGGAGGGCCTGGGGATCGGACCCCAGCCACCAACCTCCCGTTTGACAGATGAAGAACCTGGGGTCAGGGAGGGGCAGGGCTGGTCTGGAGTAGACAAGCAGAGCGGAAGCATCTGCAGCCCACACCCCTGTCCACAGTCCAGGGTCCTCCTGGAGCCCCACTCTGCCTGGAGCCTGGGCTTCTGTTCCTCGAACTCTTGGGCCCCAGGTGCTCATCTGTGCACGTGGCCTGCCTCCCCATTGTTCTGACTGGGGTGCGTTGGTCTAACAGAGCACCTGCTCTTCTCCCAACAACGTCCTCAGTGTCCGCACACCCGGTCAATGTGCAGGGAAGGAATGGTCAATGTGCAGGATCAATGGTGCAGGGTCCGGCACGGCCCTGGGTTCCCAGCCTCCTGGGAAATGCAGGCTGAAGTAACACCAGTCATTTCTCGCCTACATTTCGGCAAAATTTTAGAAGGTCACCACTGTTGGTAAGAACATGGAAATGAGTGTTCTCCTGCAATGTTTGGGAAGCCAGTCTGGCACTCTCCCAACGTTAGGTGTGAAACTTCTCACCCAGCCATTCCACCAGCGGGAGCCTGCCCTTGGAAATGCTCCCACGTGGACAAAGATGGAGACGCACACTGTGCACCGCAACATTATTTTTGGGGAAGAAAAACTGGAATTAACTGTCACTATCTGGGGTAGTTTCACTGAATATGATACAACCAAACAAGGCGCACCACACGGCTATTAAAAAGTGAGGGGGTCTGTGTGTGCGGATGTGGCCAGACCTCTCAGTGAAACGCGGGATGAGGACCAGCATTACAAGGCGTACAGATGCACGTGTGTGCGCGCGCGTGCGTCTTCTACAAAGATTTGGAAGGACACACACCAAAGCCATAGCAGTCTCCACCTGTGTGGAAAGGGGCCGGTATGTAGGGAGGACGGGTGAGAAGGGAACCTTTACATTTCATTTTTATGTACTTCTCTGTTGTTTGTATTTCATCATTTGCATATATTCATTTCTGTATAAAATTAATTTTAAGTCAATGAAAAATCTTTTTCTGATCACATAAGTAGTAAGTATTCTTATAAAATTATAATTGATTTTATTGTATATAATATAATCAGTATATTATAAAAGCAATATTATAAACTTATTATACAAGACATTTATTGTTTAAAATTGTTTAAATTGAGGTAAATAGCAAGGAAATTGAAAGAATAAAAATGATTCCTAGTAATTTTAGTATCTGGAAAAGGTGGACATTGAATACATTTCATCAGGAAAAATGGGTAGCCATTTGGAAAAAAAATGTTAGATGCTTACCTCACCCTTTACACAAAAATCCAAGTGGATAGATGATTTAAACATAAAAGGTGAAACCATGAACATGCTAGAAGAATTCATTTTACGATCTCAGAGGAGGGAAAGACTTCTGAAGTTTGATGCCAAACATGAAAACCACAAAAGGCTCACAAATCAAACTACAAAAGAAAATTTTTTAACAGTGCAAATGCCACCATAAGTACAGTCAAAAAGTGAAACAACAAAGTACTCCAGAAAGTGTTACAGCTCAGGCAACAAGCTCTTGTCCTTGTGTCTAAGGAGAAATTATATGTCATTGTATACGAAGTGTGTATCATGGTATGAAATTTAGTGAGGAAAAAGACCCAACAAGCCAAGGGAAAGGTGGGCACAAGAGCCCTGAGCACGGGAAACAGGCAGTCTGTGCGCTTCTGAGGAGATGCTCAATCCTGCCCTTACTGAGGGGTGCAGATCAACCCCGCGGTGACACCGTGTCCGCCCCTGAGACTGGCCACGTTTGGAGATGAAAGCGTTGCAGAGAATGGAAGGAAACAGGTGGAAAATCGGGCATTCTCAAACGCTGCTGGTTGACACAGAAGTTGCTCTGATCCAGCAATTCCACTTTTGGAATTTCTCCTCAGGCTATCTGCCAGGCAACTGTCATTACACATGACACTTAAGTTTTATGAAGTCGCTGTGAGATGTGAATTCGTGGCTCCTGAACCGCCGCTCTCCGGGGAAATGCAGGCTCAGTTCCTGCAAGTCTGTCACGGGTTGGCATTTTTGTCAACGGATCAGTACAAACCCTAGTCTATGTGTGTTTGACTAAAAACACCTTATCTAATGTGTATTGGTGATGCGCTTACATCGAACTCACAGCCAGGAGTGCCACCACCTATGCCTGAATGAACACACATACTTGCTCCAGGCACATCTCAGCTCGGGGGCACTGGGCAGCCCCTCAGCATGCAGCTGGGGCCACTTTAACAGTGAAATCACCAGCATGAAGCCCCAAAGTGTGAAAAATGTGGCCCTAAATAGACCACAAAAAAACACTTATCCACAGAACGAGGGCTGAAACAAGAAGACAGAGTTGACCTCACGGGGGATGTGCGTGTCCGGCAACTCCAGTTTTCCAGTGCTTTGTGCGTGTCAGCAAATGACCACGGAAGCATCACCAGTACTGACTTCGGGACTGCAAGTAGACTTTAGCGAGGGGAAAGCTTACAAATGCAGACGCCATGAATAAGGAGAACGGACTGTGCTCGCTCCATGGGTGCAAAGTGACACGCGTGAAGTTGCGCACTGCAGGGGAAGAAGGAAACACTCCAGGTGAGTCCAGGTCTCCCAGCAGGGAGCAGGCGTTCATATCTCAGACTCCTTTAACTGCCCGCAGGTGGGCCGAAGCACAGAGCGGGTCGACAGCAGCCACATCGTCATCTTCTGTGGACATACAGTATTTTTTTGAATGGAGGCCCCATACGTACCTACTAGGATGTAGCTGACCCATTATTACTGAACAGATTAGGATCAGTTCCTAATACCCTAAACAATACTGATCCGAACATCTCGTACGCATCTCCACGCAGATCTTTCATTGCTCCCTGAGGATGATTCCCAGAAGCGGGAATTCTGAGCGGAAGACATACGCACTCCCCACGGCGTTCGATGCTTCCTGACAGCGCCCTCCGGAAGGACTGTGTCCATTTCAGCTCCCACCAGAAGATTACTGTTATTATTATTATTTTCAATTCTTGTAAAATATACCCTGAAGGTTTTTCTTTGTCATTACATCCCTGTGTACCAGTGAAAAGGGCCTTCAGATTAGAACCTCTGATGTCTGTTGCCTTCATTGGTTGACACGATCCCCCCACCTTTTTCTTCCTTGGAGAAAAGGAGGGCACAGGGCACGCCCACACACCTCTGCGGCACGCCACTGGGGTCCCTGGGCGGGGGCTCTCAGCTCTCCGCCCTGGTCCCGGGAGAGCTGTGGAAGAGACCGAGGCTTGGAGAATGCAAAGAGATGTTGGGCTCCTTTGCATTGTCTCTCCTTGGGCAGCATCCTAAAAAGAGTGTATTGTCGGTTTTTAGAAATCAAGTTAACATGATGCATTATGGTATTGTTGTTTTGCATTCAGATGGAGGAAAGGCCATTTTAAAAAATCACCTCGATCAAAACCCCCAGCTTCAGTGGAGCACAACAGAGCCCTCGCGGACGTGCAAAGACCCCGTAGAAGACATAAACTCCCCAGAACAGTAAGTGCCTTCCCCTTGGGGAATTACTGCCAGAGAGCACGTGACTCCTGCAGAACAGTTTACAGTTTGCACCATGTCGGCAGGTGCGTTCCTGCATCTGCACTCCACAGCAGCCCCACGCGGCAGGTCAGGTGCTCCCCTTACAGATGAGAACACTGGTATTCACAGAAGGGAGGCGACTTGTCAAAGCTCACCCTGTTGCTAAGGATCGGAACTCGGGTCTAATATCAAATCCCATGTTCTCCACTGTAGCACACTGCCCTTGTGGTGTATGAAATTTAATCTTGCTAAGTGTGTTTACTTAATGATTTACTGAGACCTACTATGTGTCAGACGTAGCAGTGAAGAAAACAGACAAAAATTGCTTCCTTCATGGAGCTTCCAATCTATCTGGTAAAACAATAACTTAATTTAAAAAGCAAAACCTGGTATCTTAAATGATAGATGCTTTGGAGAAAAACAGAGCAGGGAAGGGGGTTAGGAGTGTAATTTTAAATAGGGCAGTCGGAGGAGACTCAGCAAGAAGGTAGCATCTAAGCGATGACCTGGGCATCTCGGTTTGCTTTGTTCCCACTGGCGGTAGTTAGTTCTTCCCAGCTCACAGCAGATGGGAAGCAGAGATTAGAAATGTCAGCCCTGCAAATTGGCTCCTGGGAAGTGACACTCGGTGAGGAACCAGCAAAAACAGCCGAATCACCAACTGCCGAGTCATTGGGGGCCATTCAGGGTTAGAGTGAATTGCCTCTCAAACTGATGAGCCCCAGGGCTCACTGGCTTCCAGTCCAGAGCAGTCACTGAGGGGTACATGGCCCGTGTCGGCAGCTCACCTCTCAGCTCCCTGCACTACAGTGCAGCACCTTGATGGTGAGATATGGGTACCTCATAGGTCCCTTGGACTGAACACAGGGTCAGCACCAAGCAGGGTCTTGGCAAGTGTCTGTTGAGTGAATGAAAATGTAGGCAGGATCCCACCGGCCAGCAGTGCTATGGCTCTGACAGCCACTCAGATGCTCGCCTTGCCCAGCTAGATGGCCCCACGGGGAAGGCTCGGACAGGCCACCCTTTCCCGGGTCCGAGTTTATCTTCAGGCCCTTTCTCCTGGACTCTCTGCCCACACCATCTGGCCTCAAGGAAGTGATCAGTGATACAGCTTCAACTTTCATTTCAAACTGAGGTCCCCGACACCCTGACCTCATGAACATCTGTGAAGTATCTCTTGGGAGAAGCCCCTCTGGCCAGCAGGTCCACAGGGAGTGGGGCAGCCCTGCGTCTGTCCCCTTCCATCTCAGGTCCGCACCAGCACCCTCCTACCAGTCCAGGGCACAGCGTGCGGGGGTCAGGCAGCCCCTGTGGAGTGCCTGGCCTGCCCGACAAAGCTCAGTGGGTTAACAGAAGCAGGAGTCCCACCTTGCTTTGTTGCCAGCTTGGTTTCCATGAGCAAGTTACGCAAACTAATCTGCATAACGGGAATACTGCCTTTGCCTCCTGGGTTTTTGTGACAGTCTGGGTTTCATCCCGCCTACGTGGCCAGGCACTGGGGACACAGAAGGCCTAAGAATGCAGGGGAGGCAGCTCCCCAGCTGCCACAGAGAAGTGCACACAGCGCAGCTGAGCAGAGCAGGGCTGGTGGCCTGGGCACATCCCCCAACAACCAAGGGGACTTCCCAACCCACCAGTCAGGGTGAAGGCTGATGAGAGGCAAGTGCCGGAGGTGTGGCAGGAAGAAGGGAGTCGGGAGGCAGCTCCCTTTTCACTCTGCTCCTCCGTCGGTCACACAAATCTACCTGCTGGGTCGGGGTTTTCTGGCTGCAGCTCAGAAACTTACTGAGGGCTCTGGGAGCTTAGAGGAGGAAGGGGCTCGCTCTCTGAGACAGCAAATACAAAGAACTGGGCTTTGAAGGAAAAGCAGGTCATCAGCTCGGGAAGTAGACCAAGGCTCTCCAGGCTGCGGAAACGGCACGTGTAAAGGCGCAGAGAGTGGCCACGAGCAGTTTTGGGGGGGCGGAAACCAGCTACCAGAGGACAGCGTGCACAGAGAGAGGAGGGAGAAGATTCAACTGGGGAATTTGGCAGGAGAGAGATCTTAGCCCTGAGTGACCTTCTCAGTGATGCTAGTCACCAAAAGACGCCCAAAGACCAGGAGGGAACCTGCTGGATTGGCCCAGTGAGCAGGGCTGAGGTCCTGGGCGGGCAGGAGAGGCAGAGCCAACTGGGAAGCACGGATCGGCTGGGAAGCCTTTCAGGGAGGACACCCGAAGCCAGGTCCAGGTGGGGGCTTGCAGGAGTAGAGAATGAGAACTGTCTGCGTTTGCAGCAAAGCCCTGTTCTTAGGGATCACCAGAAGCTCCAGAAACATCCTCCTTGCTTATCGTCTCCCTGGTTATTGCCAGGGTGGTAGTTGGCACAGGTGGGCCCGCATTAAACACCTGCTAGATGGTGAATGGTGAGATGAGAGGATGGTCAGATCTTGAAATCAGAGAACACTATGCTCCTACCGTCAACCTCTTAGCCAGAGCAAGTCCAAGGAACTTTCCAGTGAGCAGCCAGATAGCCTTCGTTAACTCTCCTCTCCCTCTCTCTCTCTCCCTCTCCCCCCTCCCCCACCACCACAGCATCCAGCGCCGGCTCTCCCTCCAGCTCCCCATCCTCCACCACGCCTACCTCCCGTCTATCGGAGGCGTGGACGCCAGCTGTGCCAGCCCCTGCGTCAGCCCCACCGCCAGCCCCCGCCACAGACATGTGCCACCTTCCTTCCGAGTGATGGTCTCGGGCCTGTAAGGGCGGTAGGCCTGGGGCCGGGGCCTCCCCCATGACAGAACCACACCGAGCAGAGGCGTCTGCTGCAGGAGCACGGTCGGATCTGGCTGCGGAGAGGCGGGGTGCCGCGGCTGGCCTCGCGGGGCTGCTTGGGGGCCCTCGGGTGGACGGGACGGGCGCACCTGGCACCTGACCTCGCGCCTTATTTGTGAAGTTTTTATTCTTTCACAAAGAAGAGGAGTGGAAATGACTTCTTCCTTCGTGTCTGCAAACAGGAGAAACTGGGATGTTTGAAACTTTGAGGAAACAAGAATCCTAGACAAGGAAAGAGTCACTAGAACTCCAGCTAGAAGTCACTGAGCAGCCTTGGGAAGAGAAAGGGCTTCTGGGGACACGGCCTCCACCTCTGCACACACGTCACTGGCTGCGGGCCCCCCGGGCCAGCCCTCCTCCCCTCCGGGGAGGGAAGTGGGCAGGGCAGCCAGGCCCCCAGCTGCCAGTGCAGCCCACCCCAGCCTTCCTGGAACAGGGAGCCTGCAGGAAGGGCAGCCAGGCACAGCTCCGCGGTGGGTGGCCGGGCCTGGGGTGCGGGAGCAGGCTGAGCGATGCCTCCCGGCGGGACCTCACTCTCTGATAAATGCCACACATCAACACAATAACACGCGTTCTGGACTGTGGGGATTTAGGGCACGTCACTGCAGACACACTCTGCAGCATTCACCGACAGTCGGTCACGCACCCACCACGCTGGCCATGTCCTTGTGTTTGCATCAGGTGTTCCCGGTAATAAGGGGGGCCACCTGAGCCAATCATGGAATGTCTGTTCCCAGCATACACAAAAAAGAAAGATTGTGCACTTTAACCTCTCTCCAGGGCCCAAGGGCTTGCCGGGTTGGTTTTCCCCCACTGACTTTGTTTCTAACCAAAGTGAATCATGGGCATTCTTCTAGAAGACATCCCTGTAGCAGCAGGGGAAAGAGCTGCCAGCTGGGGCTTCCCTCAGCTTCCAGAAGGCAGCCTTCAGTCCAGACAAGCCAGTGAGCTGTGCCCATGGCGGTCACAGGGGTGACCAGTCAGCACACTGATTCTCATTCGTAAGCTCACCCTTCCCTTTTCACTGAACCCCAAAGAGCACCGGCCTGAGAGTAAGACAGACCTGGGTTCAAGTCCTCACTCCACTGCTGACTCCCTCCATGACCTTGGGCAAGTCGTCAGTGTCTCTCTCAGCCTCAGTTTCCCGCCTCCAACAAGTTAGGGTTGAAATAACACCCATCCTGCCTACCTCACAGGGTCGCTCTGAGGATCAGAACTTGATCTTGTGCAGGAAAGCTTCCGATCACATGCGAAGCAGCCCTGACCCGTGAGGTATCAGGATGACCATGACCTTCAACCCCCACATCAGCCAGGGGAGCGACCCAGGGAAGCTCCCAGCACGGCCCTCTGCCAGGATCAGCCGGCCGAAGAGAGGCTCCCCATGACTTTCGTGACATTCCTAGACAGGTTCACCCTTTGCTAGAGAAAGGCTGAACGACAGCGTCCGGGACATCCGCACAACCGAGCAGCCGCTCACTCCCTAGAGAAACCTAATGGCAGCTTCAACAGGCAGGCAATAATCTCCTCCCAGACCCCCAAAGTCAGGACCACGCTGCTGTCACCACCAGGCTTTGACAAAAGGGCCCGCAGGAATCTTAACCGTCGCCTACATTTCAAAACACTCTATTTCACGTAGCATAGCTTTCCTCTCCCCTCCCCCAAAGAGAGGTTACGGAGGTACTGTAGCTTTTAGGGGAAAAAAAAAAAACAATGTTAACACATCACAGGTCAAGTTGAAGTCATTGTCTGTTTCGGCACTAAAAATCGGTGTTGTCACTCACTGTGTATTACCAGTATTTACTTGCTTTCTTGGTTTCACCAACATCAGATTTAATTTAAAGGGCCACACTAATTTTTCAAAGAGAAGGAGACGATTCATTGTACATAATGTATACACACACACAAACACCTGTAGAAATATTACTCCAGCGTAGCAAGGGAAGAAGAGACGAAAGCGCCGGCCAGTCGGCGGGAGCTCGCGCATCTGTGACCCGTTGTGACTCCTGAGCGTGCACAGTCTTCTAGGCTAACCCACGAAGTACACTCTCTGTCTTGACGATACTGTAGGTTCGCCCATTTTTTTTTAAATTTCCCTGCAAATAAGACCCACAGAAGTGACTCTAGCTATGTACCGGTCTGTTCTTTTCTACACAGCAAACACACCGTCCATCTCCAAAAAGGCTTCAGCCTGAAGGTGTTTTCCAATGATGTTAGTGCACAAACGCTTTAAATTAGACTGGAACTGCCAGAATCCAATGTAAATGAGGAATTTCTTGAACCCCTATTGCATGGTATCAATTTTTAATAAATTGTTGCAAATTTGTTTTTATGAATAAAAGGGGAAAAACTGTCGTCTTTAATGCCTATTCCTAAGCCCCAAATGCAGGTCATTTCAGGCCATATTGCTCTGCTCGGGTCTCAGGAGACAGTTCTGGGGCTCCCTGCTCAGCACTGTCCCTTCCTCCAGAGGCTGCCCTCCCCTGCCTTCTGCTGACAGTAGCCTCTGGCCGCAGGTGATGGGTCCAGAGTGGGAACCTGACCTGAACTGTGCCAGTAGAAAGCCCCTCCCCAGGGTTCCTCCGTGTAAAGAGAACAAAGAAACCAACACAAAGAGAAGCAGGACCAAGAGGTGGGTTCTTGTGGCGTCTGAGCCTCTGACAGCTGTTCCTGAGGCCAGCAGCCCCTGAGTCTTCCCATGCTGGGATGCACAGGCCTTCCTTAGAGTCTCAGCTCCTCCACTAGTCAATGACCTCCTTTGTCAGGATGGTTCAGGTTCAGTCCCCATCACTTGCAACCAAAAGGCTCCTGACTAATCCAGAAGCCTCCCTGACACACCCTCCAGGCCTTGACAGCCTGTGAGATGTGGCCCCGTGCTCCTTTCCAGCCTCGTCACCCACCTCCTCCTGGACCCTATAGTCTGCTAGCACTCCCTCCAACATGCTGGCCTCAGCCTGCAGCTGCATCTCCGATCCTCCCCATTCTTCAAAGTCCCAAGCAAAACACCACCCTCGAGTCCCCAACATGAAATCACCTCTTCCTATTTTCTGTGCTGAGGACACTGTCGCTCTGTCATGGCACTGGCCCTCCCCACACCCCTGCCAGACCATGATCTCACTGAGGATGGGGTCCCCATCTGCTTCCTCAGTGTCCCACCCAGCATTAGGCCATCCCATTTGCTCCGAACAGCCTTTGACAAGCCTTCAGCAGAACTGAACACCCCGGCTGAGGCGTGCCCATGTTGGCTGCTGGGTCTGGAAGTATGAGCACCGGCCGAGTGCCAAAGCAGGTAGGGGAGGCCTGCGGCCGCATGATGGGTGCAGACCCCAGAAGTACGGGTACTGGGCCCACAGACTTCGCCGGAAGACTGGTCCCAGGCCAGAGTGTTCTACAGCCCGGGACTCTCCGTGGTGAGCCTGCCAAGGACAGGCCTCCAGAATCCTGGTCCCAAGAGAGCCCTGCTCCATCCCACCTTTCATTCAGCCCATGAGGTGTAGGATGTTCGAGGATGGGAAACAGATCCAAAAAAAAGGAGGATTACCCAAGATCACCTAGTGAGTCATGGCCAAGGCAGGAACAGAGCCAGAATCCTGACTGGTCTTCTTTCTCTACCTGACCTAGAAACACAAAAATGAAGAGCTAAGAAGGGCCTTAGAGGTGTTGTCCAGCCCCTCCTGTTATAGGTGGGGAAACTGAGGCCCAGTGACACGAGCCAAGGTCAAGCAGAAGGTCCTGAAGGCAAGCTTGGAACCCAGATGGCCTGGCTTTGAGACGCCAGCTCTTTCAAGTCCATGTCCTCAGGCCTGGCCCAGAATCCCAGGCAGAAAGAGCAGCCGTGGCGGGGAGACACTGCAATGTGGAGACTCTGCTCTGCTTCCTCGGGTTCTCTCGAGGTCTTCCCATGTCTCCAGTAACTGTGGAACCAGCTGGTGAAACCCTTGCCCTCACCCCGGAGCATGTCTGAAGGGGACAGGGCTGGAGAACACCCTCATCACCGTCATCACTGCAGCTCTCCAGGTCTTGCGTGGCCTTGAGGGGCAGGTCTGTGCTGACTGGAGCCTGAAGGCATGGTCCAGAGGGTGGGGGTGCACTTCGTCCTGCTCGTCCTCCACGGGAGGGAGATGGAAACAGGGAAACTGAGCTCTGGTGACATCACTGGGGCTCCAGGACCAGCAATGCCTAAAGCTGCACCTGCCCTTGAGCCTCCTGGTTTTGAGCTAATATGTCCCTTTTTCTGGTTATAGAGTAGGGTCTGTGGCACTTAAAACCAAAAGAAATCTGTGAGAATCAAGAGATCCATGTGAGGGCTCATTTTTTGTTCAAAACTTTACAGATGGATGGGCTGATTTGAGAGAGAGGAAGGGAGGAAGAGAAACAGCATGAGAAATATCTATCAGTTGCTTCTTGTACACTCCCTGACCGGGGACTGAACCCAACCTGCAACCTAGCCACGTGCCCCAACCAGTCATCAAACCAGCAACCTTTGGCTTTTGCAGAGCGATGCCCAACCAGCTGAGCCACATTGGTCAGGGCTGTTTAAAACTCTTGAGAATTCTGCCCTCCTCCCTCCCCTCACTTTGAGAGACTGTGGGAAGTATGTCCCTATTGCCACACATATCGCTGTGTAGGGAGGGTGAGTGAGGAGGCGTGGGGGTCTAAGAAGCCTCAGGAGGCTAAAGAAGGGTCGGTGGGCCAGGCAGAGGACCAGGGGACTGGCACCAAGCTGTGTGCCCCCAGGGAGGGCCCTGTGTCTGTTCTGCACTCTCTGCCCCCAGCCTGTCCCCCACCTCCTTGGCTGGTTATACCTGCCTTGGCCCTGAGGAGCAGAGTTTGTGAGATCCCGGGCAGTAAATGATTAACACGCTCTCCTGAAGAGAAAATTAGTCCCTCCCCTACCTCCACCCCACACTTGAAACCCCTGGCAAGTACCCCAGGCTCACTCAGTCATGTTTCGTCTGACCTCGGGGGTCCTGGGTGGGTCCTGCGTGGAGGTGATGATTCACTGCCTGCTTGCTTCCCCCAGGTTTCACTTCCAGAGCCCCAAACCCCCATGAGGCCCAGTGAGTCCCTGCCCTTTGTCAGGGCCTGTGCAGGCACCAGGGAAACAGCAGTGAGCAGAACCCAGGTCTCAAGAACCTCATAGGCTAATGGAGAGACCGGTGCATAAAGAGGGGGTGACAGTAGCATGCAACAAACACCTAGTAGAGGACAGAGAGCCAGAGATGTTCCCTGGGGGGTGTAGCTCCATACAGGGCCGGCTTCATGGCCCTGGGGCCTGTGTAGTCACTTACAAGAGTCATTCTGTTCTAAGTCCTGCAGATCAGGTAGCAGTCCTATACCCAGACCTGAAGATGAGCAGGAGCTAGCCAGCAGGAGAGGGGAGGGAGAGGAAGGCACAGGGAGGGAACTGGGAGTCCGACTCCTGCAGGACGCATGGACCTGCCGGGGCTGCTGTAGCTGCCCCCAAGGCCAGCTGAGCTGTCACATGCTAATCATTTACACCGGGATCAACATGGCCTCAGATGCCTGAATGATCAGACAGCACGCACCCTGTCTGTGTGTGATGACACGGGTTGTATCTCCAGGCCTGGGTGCAAGTTTCTACTTTCCCACTTATCTGGCTGTGTGGCTCTGAATGACTCACTCAACCTCTCTGAGCTCCTGGCCCCACACCTGTAAGGGGATAGGATACCTCATCCAGGGGCTCACGTGGGTGGTATTTGTTCTATTCCCGGGCAAGCAGCCTGTAGAGAGAGCAGCTTCAGTGAGTGCAGCAGGGCAGCCCACAGTCCCCTAAACTCCTGACGACAGAATGCATCTGCAGCAGGAAACTTCGGGAAAACATCTTGACACGCTGTTGGAGGGGAAGATGAGATTCTGGAGACAAGGTTGAAAACACAACAGGCGACAGTTCTGTTAGAAAGGACTAGAAATTTTCAGATGGAAGGAGAGAGAAAGGTGGGAGAGGAGGGAAGCCAAGTTCAAGTAACATGTAGTGTGGCCCAAGGACTTGGAAGAACAGAGATGTCAGACATTTGATTTTAAGTCATTTGTGTTGCTGTGAAGCAAACCCTCTCCTTCCTGTCCCTTCACTGCCACCCCACCCCCACCCTCGGAAAATGTCCCTAAAACCCTTCAGTAACATTTACTACACAAGTAAACATCTTGTAGAGTTGGGTGGAAATGAAAGAAAGGGACAAATATTCTTTGGGTAGAAGCCCACGTGGGAATAAAAGGAAAATTAAACCACAGGATGCGGAGGGGAAACACACTCCCTGCACAAACAGGAACACGGGGCCCCGGGTGGTCACAAGCGTATGGGCTCCCCGGAAATTCGGAAGCATTGGAAAGGTGCTGGCATGTGGGGGGGGGGGGGTGGAGAGTGCGGATTCATCCCCTCTGGATCTCACTGGGCACCGTCGCTCTTGCAGACATCGGTTATAACGTATGTGACAGGAAACATTTTATCCCACAGAGCCACACATCTCACAGATCCGGAATGCAAAGGTGGAAATACTAGAAAGCAAGACCAGCAACACCGTGGTCACCTGCATCACAAAATAAAGTCCACGCTCACAGCTCTGAAGTGGGGTGGACCTGGAGAAACTGCCCGCCGGCAGGCTCTGGAGGTGCTGAAGAGCCCTCAGCTTGGCCGCCTCTGCTCTCAAGGTCACGGCTGCCCTCTCTGCTCTGGTCCCCCGGCCTGTTACTGGAGAGTCCTGGCACACATGGGGAGTTAGGGACTGAGCCAAGAGGAAATACATTAGATTTTTCTCCATCTGAATTCCAATGCCAAAGACCCAGGGCAGTGTCCCTCAAACCTAGAAACTGTAGGGATGCCTTTTAAGACATAGTGTTGACTTAAATTGTTTTTATAAAGAAAATCACTTAAATATGTTCACACTAAACATAAACACATGCGTATATCCTTCATATAAAAGCCAAACAAATTTATAAATTAAGTGCAAACAAAATGACAAAGCCATTAAAAAAACACATTAACAACATTGATACAATGGGGTACATGAGCTTCTGCTGAAAAATAAATTGCAGCTCAAGACGCAAGCACAGCATCAACCGCTCCCAGGCACATTGCTTTGAATTCAGCGTGCCTGGTGTGATGACTCAATTATCACACCGCTTTCCTCTATTTAAACTGCTGTGAACACTTCATTCATCCAGCAGGCCACGGTGTCACTTAGCCTTCCCTCAGCTCTAGCACATCCCTCCTCTGTTCAGTCCACCTCTGTGTTTTCTCACGAGCTGCTGATGGTCGGGGGCCGCCCAGATGATACACACAAATCAAATGGTG